TGGAAGTTTGAAATAAGAACTCTTCTAGCTCTAAAATACTGTCATTTGAGGAGCTCCCACTATTATGCAAGAATGCAGAAGAAAGGACAAAGGAATATCACAGCTCCCCTCACCCCAGATTTGAATGTCTTGTAAAAGAGAAGGAAATGGACCCAATGTAGTCAAAAAAGAGTTATTATAACAGAAATAAGAAGTATTGTGACTGGATGTGGTGGCTCGTGCCTGTAATCCCAGCACTTTGGGAGGCCAAGGCAGGCAGATCACTTGAGGTCAGGAGTTCGAGACCAGTCTGGCCAACATGGTGAAACCCCGTCTCTACTAAAAATACAAAAAATTAGTCGGGTGTGGTGGCACATGCCTGTAATCCCAGCTACTCAGGAGGCTGAGACAGGAGAATTGCTTGAACCTGGGAGGTGGAGTTTGCAGTGAGCAGAGATCAAGCCACTGCACTCTAGCCTGGTCAACAAAGTGAGAATCTGTCTCAGAAAAAAAAAAAAAAGGATTGTGCCTCTTGAACATGGTTTTTTTGTTCGTTTGTTTGTTTTTGTCCTAATTTCAGATCTCATTTGATGTATTTGTGTCTGACAGAGCAAATTAACTGTATTAGTTTGTTCTCACACTGCTGTAAAGACATACCTGAGACTGGGTAATTTATAAAGAAAAAAGATTTAATTGGCTCACAGTTCTGTGCTTCTGTTTCTGGGGAGGCCTCCAGAAACTTACAACCATGACAGAAGGCAAAGGAGAAGCAGGCACATATTCAGATGGCCAGCAGGAGAGAGAGAGGGCAAAGGGGTAGGTACTGCACACTTTGAAACAACCAGATCTTTATCACAAGAACAGCAAGGGGGAAAGCTGCCCCCATGATCCAATCACTTCCCACCAGGCCCCTCTTTCAACACTGGGGATTACAACTTGACATGAGATCTGGGTGGGGACACAGAGCCAAATTATATCATTAACTAAGAGTGTTTTACGACATGGCTATTTATTTGTTATCTATAAGAATGTCGGTGAGGTCTGGTGTTGATTGGTTCTCAGTTGTCACAGCCTATGCACTGTTGACTCCTCTGCCCTGGCATGAGCTGGGGCGCTTCAGCTGGTAGCAGGAAGTAGGGGAACGGGGCAAATCCCATAAGGTCCCTCTGGGGTTTGGCTTGACCTTCAAACAGTGGGTACGATGTCACCCTCACACTTCAAGAGTTGTGAAACATCATTGCAAAGTGGCCAGGATTCACTTACTACTTAAATGTAATGAGCACCTACTCCATTGCCAGGCACCAGTCTTGGGGCTGGAAATACAGCAGTGCACAAACAGACAAAACTCCCTGAACTCATGGAGCTTCCATAATTTGATAATTCACATAATAGCTTTAAAGGCTTTTCCAAGCCAGACACAGTGGTGCATGCCTGTAGTTCCAGCTACTTGGGAGGCTGAGGCAGGAGGATTGCTTGAGTCCAGGGGTTCAAGATTGTAGTATGTTATGATTATGCCTGTGAATAACTACTGGACTCTAGCCTGGGCAACATAACAAGACTTCATCTCTTAAAAAAAAGACTTAAAATTTTTGTAAATTGTAGTAAAATATACATAGCAGTTTTTGTATGTTTTACCACAATCAAAAATTTTTTCAGTTCAATAGTTGTTGTGAAACAGATGTCTAGAACTTTGTTGCTTTGCAGAACTGAAACTCTATACCCATTAAGCAACTCTCTTTTGCTCCCTTTTCCTAGCCCCTAGTAATCGCCATTTACTTTCTATATCCATGAATTCAACTTCTCTAGGCACCTCATAGAAGTGGAGTCATATAGTATTTGTCTTTTTGTCACTGACTTCTTTCACTTAGCCTAATGCCTTCAAGATCCATCCATGAGGTAGCATGTGTCAGAATTTTCTTCCTTTTTAAGGCAGAATAATATTCCACTGTATATGTGTAACACATTTCATTTATCCATTCACCTGCCAATGGAGACAGGTTTACTTCCACATTTTGGCTATTGTAAACAGTGATCCTATGAACATGAGTGTACAAATATCTCTTTCAGATCCTGCTTTTAGTTCTTTTGTGTATGTGCCCAGAAGTGGAATTGCAGGATCATATGGCAATTCCATGTTAAATTGTTTGAGGAACTGCCATGCTGTTTTTCATAGTGGCTGCATCATTTTACCTTCCTATTAACAACACACATGGGGTCTAATTTTTTCACATCCTTGTTAATACTTGTTAACTGCCACTCAATAATAGCTATCCTAATGGGTATAAAGACTATTTTTTTTAAACTACTTGTACTAGCTTAATTATAGAACAACTGGGCTAAATTAAGTTAGCTGGAAAGCTGGGAAGAACGCACAGCTCAAACTCACCATTTTACAAGTGACTAAATAAAATCTTCTGAATAAAGACCCCATCTAGGCATGCGTGGATGTGAATACAACTAAAATTTAAAAATGAATAAAGAGACTTGTTCAATATCAGGCCACGAGGGACTAATGGAGGTGGCACAGGTTTCTAAACCAGCGGCCAGCAAACTTTTCCCTAAAATATTAGATATTTACTCTCTGTTCCTAAAGCCTTTGCCCACCATAGTCTCTGTCATAGCTTTTCAACTCTGCCATTGTAGTGTGAAAGCAACCACAGACACTCTGTATAACCAAATGCGTGTAGCAGTATACCAATAAAACTTTTGCAAAAATTTGCAAAAATAGGCAATAGGCTGTAATTTTCTAATCCCTGTTCTAAACCAACAAACTAAAGTGTGGGACCAGCAGGTGTGTATTGTTCCCCACCTTCCCCCGACTCTGGTAATAGCACCTTGATTTCCTTTTGATGAACTGCCTGTCTTCCTAGTGCCTGTGATCTTGGTAGAATTATCAGTCAATGTACTTTGCCAGCTCTGGTCAAGAGGTGGGTCCGTGACCCAGGCTGGGCCTTTCTATCTAAGGACTTCGAACCTTACAAAGGTACAAAGGGACAAGATGACTGAAGTTGATCCCACCTGTGTCTTTGGTGACTCTATTGAAGGGTTCCTCTACCTGGATCTCCAGAGTTGCCCAGCTCCTAGCCGTTTCCAAGCCTGTGTAACAATATTCCACTGTCTATGTGTAACACATTTCATTTATCCATTCACCTGCCAGTGGAGACAGGTTACTTCCACACTTTGGCTATTGTAAACAGTGATCCTATGAACATGAGTGTACAAATATCTCTTTCAGATCCTGCCTTCCTTCCAATTCTTGGAAGGAAGATCCAATTCTTTCTTCCATTTTGCAAGCAACCCCACATCCTTTCAGTAATTATTTCTTCTACTAAATGACTTGAAGTCAATTTCTGATGCTCACAACCAGAGAATCCTGACTGATCATTCACTTTTAAGAAAAGATGTGCTATACAATTACTTTAACCACAATACCCCCAACAGCTAAAACAGGATTTGATTTGATTGCTTTTTTTTTTTTTTTGAGACGGAGTTTTACTCTTGTTGCCCAGGCTGGAGTGCAATGGCGCCATCTTGGCTCACCGCAACCTCTGCTTCCTGGGTTCAAGTGATTCTCCTGCCTCAGCCTCCCGAGTAGCTGGGATTACAGGCATGCACCACCACGCCCAGCTAATTTTGTATTTTTAGTAGAGACGGGTTTCTCCATGTTGGTCAGGCTGGTCTCAAACTCCCAAACTCAGGTGATCCACCCCCCTCAACCTCCCAAAGTGCTGGGATGACAGGCGTGAGCCACGGCACCCTGTCCCCTGATTTCTTAAAAAGCAAATTATCTGAAAGTTTAAGGACGTAACAGACCCATCAATTGAGATTCCTGCGTCCATGCCTGCCAGTGTGGCCATACCAAGCTGGAACGCCATTATCCTTCAATCTTCGTTCAACAATTACCTCCAGCCCTGCTGAGCTCTCCCTTGTGCAAGCCCCCGATGCCCTCTGGGTCTTGGATTCTTCATCTGTAACAAGAAGGGACTTAGTTTCCATCCAGCTCCAGACTTGGATCAGGGCCTCCTACTGTCTGCTCAGCACTGTGCTCAGGTATAAAAGAAGGCACCATGATCCCCCCGACTTCAAGGAGCTTGAGGATGAGTTGGGGAGACATGTCGTAATCAGCGGTGACACAGGGTAGCCTATGTAACATGCAGGTGAGGAAAACAGCCAGTGGAGCTCAGACGGGAGAAAGTTGCTGTGGACCGGAAAGGACTTTAGCTGAGCCTTTAGAAGCAGATAGGCTTTGAATAAGGAGAGAGGAAGGCAAAATTACATGCACTTTGGAGGCCTATTCAGCACCCTTCAAACTAAGCTCAGGCAACAGTTCCTGGGCTTCATTTCCATCCCTGAAGCAGCAGAGGGTGAATGGAACCAACCTTGCCAACAGAACCAGGGAATATCTGGTCCCATTCTACTGGTGACATTATTTGTTGCATTGGGTTTCTTGTAGGTATTTTCAGTTGCTGACTGCAAGAGCAGGGTGTGGACAGCTCTGAGTGTGTTAGCTAGAATATCAGAGTCTTGCTGAACTTGCTCATTTTCTGCCCATCCCAGCTGTCCAAGCACTAGAGGCAGCCCCCTGGGTCCACCCGACCCGACCCTTCAGGCAGGCAAGATGAAAGGACAGGGGCTCACATTGTGTGGTCTAGCCCCCCAGGAGGTGCCTCTGATGCCAAGTATTCCTGTGGCTAATGAACCCTGGCTGCAGGGGTTGTGGGCCGGGTGGCACAGGGAGGTAGGGGGTGGCCCTCTCTCTCCTCCTCAGCTTCCTAAAAGCCATCTGTTCCCAAACCCAAGCATTGCTTTCCGCTACACCCAAACCACCGCTACACCCAAACCCGTGGGACTGGTTATCCCCAGCACACACAGCTCTCTGTTGCTGCTTGTGTTTGTTAGTTGGCATTTGAACAGTTCTCTGTGGTTCAAGTTTGAGGCCAGCCTGGGGCAAAATGAGATTGGCAGAGGTTACCATGGCTGCTGCACCTCCCTCCCACTCTCCCACCCATGAGCCCAGACCCCTAAACTTCCCTCTTTCTAACAAACACCACCATCGCCCGGAACTCCCTTCCCCTTCAGGACCCCATTCTTTACTTTTTCAGATGGCTTATTGGAGAAACAACCTCTTCTAAGGGATGAGATGTTGCTAAAGTTCTTTTTCATAGGGGTCCTCCGTGGACAGCACACCCAGGATTCATGAAAGGATAATGGCTGGAAATTCCAGGCATGTGGCAACTTCTGAGGGACAGATGGAAGTAGATTATCTCCTCTGCTCTTAGGTAAATCTTACGTTTTTCTATACATTGTCACCCAAGGTACGTAAGATTTTATTTTCTTTTTCTTTTTTTTTGGTCAGGATTTCCCTCTTCGCTTAGGCTGGAATGCAGTGGCACCATCACAGCTCACTGCAACCTCTGTCTCCCTGGCTCAAGCAATCCTCCCACGTCTGCCTCCAGAGTAGCTGGGACAATAGGCATGTGCCACCAAGCCTGGCTAATTTTTTTTTTTTTTTTAGAGATGGAATCTCACTAGGTTGCCCAAGCTGGTCTCAAACTCCTAGGCTCAAGCGATCTGCCCACCCTGGACTCCTAAAGTGCTGGGATTATAGGCGTTAAGTACCTGGCCCTCTATTCATTTTCTATTCGGCAGACACTGGGATGCACTGGCCTAGCAGGAGTGAAAATTGACTTCTTAATCAACTCAACGACTCATGTGCCGTGTCATCTTCCCTTTTGGGAGAACCTCAGTTTTCTTGTGTGAAGGGGTTTCATTGAGTTATTGCCCCTGGGCTCACAATTTATGAGGCAGTTCTCTGTTTTTAAAGAACTACCCATGAAGCTAGGAGACATGAATTTCCTCCTGACTCACCCTCTGTTTCTCTGCTATTTGGGGTGGCTTTCATTGAGGTAGGGCACTTTACAATTTGCAGGATATCCAGACTGCCCTGACTTGATTCAGTATCCAACAAATATTTTTGAGCATCTCTGAAGTGCTAGGCATGGTGCTGGTTCTGTGGATACAAGCATGAGTGAAGTAAGTGGTTTGGAAATAATGTGCTAGGGAAACGAACAATGTATTCAAAAGGTGCACAATGGCCTGGGGCTCAGGCCTGTAATCCCAGCACTTTGGGAGGCCAAAGCGGGCGGATCACTTGAGGTCAGGAGTTTGAGACCAGCTTGGCCAACACATTGAAATCCTGTCTCTACTAAAAATACAAAAATTAGCTGGGCGTGATGGGGGGGGGGGGCGCCTGTAATCCCAGCTACTCGAGAAGCTGAGGTAGGAGAATGACTTAAACCTGGAAGGCAGTGGTTGCAGTGAGTCGAGATGGCATCACTGCGCTCCAGCCTGGACCACCACATGAATGAGACTCCGTCTCAAAAAAAAAAAAAAAAAGAGAGAAAAGGGAAGTGCACAAGTTCCTTGCAGATGGAACTTAAACTGTAAGGTGGGAATGAATAGAAAGAGCCCAGGGAGGAAGGTAAGATGAGGGTTACCACTGCCATTTTACAGAGAAATCTTGGAGACACCGACTGACCATTCTAGATTGAATGGTTAGAGGCTCCCTCCCTGAGAAAGTGGTGTTTTAGGAGAACACTTCCTAACAAGAAGCAGCCAGCCTTGGGAAGAGCTAAAGGTAGCTTGTGCAAAGGCCCTGAGGCAGGAACCAGCTAGGCCACTGGGTACATTTGAAGACCAGAAATAAGGTCAGTGTGTCTGGAACTTAGTTACTGCAGGATATGAGATTGGAGAGAAAAATAGGGTTGAATCTTTAGGGATTTTGTTTTGAGTGTAACAAAAAGTCATTAGTGGTTTTTGTTTTCATTTTGTTAATTTTACATTTTAAAATGATCATGCTAGCTGCTGTAGCATTATCACCAGCACCACTTTGTACCTTTTTTTTTTTTTTTTTTTTGAGGTGGAGTTTTTCTCTTTCACCCAGGCTCGTGGGAAGTGGTGTGATCTCAGCTCACTGCAACCTCCACCCACAGGTTCAAGCAATTCTCCTGCCTCAGGCTCCCAAGTAGCTAGGATTACAAGCGTGTGCCACCACGCCCAGCTCATTTTTGTATTTTCAGTAGAGACGGGGTTTCTCCATGTTGGCTGGTCTCAAACTCCTGACCTCAGGTGATCCGCCTGCCTCAGCCTCCCAAAGTGCTGGGATTACAGGTGTGAGCCACCTGGACCTGGCCCACTTTGTGCCTCTTTGGTGCACCATTCACTTTGTAATCAATGTAAATGAAGACCTCCAGAGCTGTGCAAGGTGGAGCAGTCGCTATAGTTCCTCCCAAGCCCTGTGTGCTTTCAGGATCTGAGAATCTAGTGTTAAGAGACTTTGGAGTGGAAAGAGTCTTCCCTAGGGGCTTGGATGATGTCAATCCTAAATCATCTTGGAAAAGCCCAAGGGGAGCGCTGGCCCCTCCAGGGTGTCTTTATTGATCTCTGTAAACACTCCCTTCTCCCAAGCTCTTTCATTCGAGAGGCCAAGCCAAGTGGAGGCAGACGCTGGCTCACTCTCTCCTCCCTTCAAGCTGACACTCTGTAAGCCTTTAAGCAGCTTGTAACTCCATCATCTCAGTGCCCCTTGGAAGCAAGCAGCATCAGATTAAGCAAATCTGGGATCCAGGCGCTGAGGAATTTGGGGCCTCTCAGGTTTCTTGGCAGGGGTAACAAGTACCTGCAGAGACTCTTCTTCAGAACAAGTGAAACTAATCCCTTCCAGGGGCAGAAAAAGGCATGCTCTTGGCAAAAGACTTCATAAGATGTTATCTCAACATCTTCTGAAGTTGGAGCCTTAGGAGGGAAGGCAGTTGCTAAACCAGGTGGGAAAACGGATGGGGTGGGAAGGAAAGACTTAGGTGGGTTCCCACATCGGTTCGGGTCCAGGGTTGCCTCTAGAACCAGGTTTCCTGGCCTGAGGAGGGTGGCCTTGTGCCCTTTCCACTCTCCTAGGACTAGACAGGGAGAAAGAAGAATGTGGAAGGGAGGGAAGGGGAGAAGAGAAGAAATGAGCTACTTCAGTTCATGGCCCCAATCCTACTCCTCAAGCTGGACAACTTAGAGGAAAGAGTTGCAGATGTAAAGTTACAGATGCAAGGAAGCTTCAGTATCATCCAATCTAACCTCTTATTTCTTATTTATTTATTTATTTATTTATTTATTTATTTATTAAGACAGGGTTTCACTCTGTTGCCCAAGCTGGACTGCAGTGGCACAATCTTGGCTCACTGCAACCTCTGTCTCCCAGGTTCAAGTGATTCTCCTGCCTCAGCCTCCCAAAGTGGTTGGGATTACAGGTGCCTGCCACCATGCCCAACTAATTTTTGTATTTTTTTGTGTTTGTGTGAGATGGAGTTTTGCTCTTCTTGCCCAGGCTGCAGTGCAATGGCACCATCTCAGCTCACTGCAATCTCCCCCTCCCTGGTTCAAGCGATTTTTCTGCCTCAGCCTCCCGCATAGCTGGGATTACAGGCACCTGCCATACCATGCTCAGCTAATTTTTTGTATTTTTAGTAGAGACAGGGTTTCACCATGTTGGCCAGGCTGGTCTCCAACTCCTGGACTCAGGTGATCCATCCCCACTTGGCCTCCCAAAGTGCTAGGATTACAGGCATGAGCCACCATGCCCAGCCTAATTTTTGTATATTTAGTGGAGATAGGGGTTTCACCATATTGGCCAGGCTAGTCTTCAACTCCTGACCTCAAGTGATCCGCCCACCTAGGCCTCCCAACATGCTGGGATTACATGTGTGAGCCACCATGCCCGGCCTATGAGTGATATTTAAAATTAAAAACAAAGCATGGCTGGGCAAGGTAGCTCACTCCTGTAATCCCAGGATTTTGTGGGGCCAAGGCGGGTGGATTGTTTGAGCCTAGGAGTTCAAGACCAGAGTGGGCAACATAGTGAGATCCCATCTCTACAAAAAAAAAAAAAAAAAAAAAAAACTAGTTGGGCATGGCACACACCTGTAGTCTTAGCTACTTAGGAGGCTGAGCTATGAGGATCATCTGAGCCCAGGGAGTCGAGGGTTCAGTAAGCCTGTGTTTTTACCACTGCACTCCAGCCTGGGTGAAAGAGTGAGACCATGTCTCAAAAAAACAAAATAAACAAATAAATAAAAGCACATAAAATGTATTGTGTTATCCCACTGATGCAACAAAAAGTATGTGTATATGCTTATGTATTATTTTATTTTTATAGTTTAATATATATATTTCCAGAAAGATACACAAGAAATATTCATAGTTAATTTACTTCATTTTACACCCGTATGCAGTTTGAAGTTTTTGTTTGGTAGATTTTTATCACATGTATATTACTTTCATTGCAAAAAGAAAATTGAGATGGAAGTTGCTTGGCTGGGATCATGTAGTCATCCAATTACTTTGGGATTGGAACCAGACCAGGTCTCCTGACTTGTCTCTTTTGACTTTTGCACACTGCCTTCTCTTCTAAGCTCAACGGCCAGACTCAGGGCAGAGAGGACTCTGCCTCCTGTCCGTCTGTCCAGTGGCTGAGAACTGGGGCTATGAAACTGTCAGTGCACAGGGATGATGACATTCTAGGTTTTTGGGCTTCTGCCTATTGGATTTCTTTTCTGGCTGTGCCACTAAAAGTAGATATTGAGCAAATGACAAATTGCTTCTCTTTTCTGAGACTCAGTTTCCCCACCCGCATAGTGGTGGCGTGGGCGTGGGTGGTGAAATGAAGCTAACTCCTTCAATGTCCTGAGAACCTTTTAGCTCGGGCTGCTGCTCCTCCAGGCTGGGGAGCATGGGGCGCAGGAGTTTTCATTCCTCGAGCCAGGCTTCCCCCTGCTGGTCTCTGCCGGTAGCGCTCGGTAAGCTTCCAATAAAGTGTTCTAACCGGCCGTTGGAGGGGCAGGGGCTGGAGAGCTCGACATCCTGCAGTGGATGAGACAGTTGTGCGCAGTGATGAATTGTCTCACCTCCTGCATGGCTTTCCAATAAACAGATGACCTGAGCTTGGAACTAACTTCCCTTTACAAACATTAACAAAGTGGTTTGGGTTTGTGCTGTTTTGTGTTGTTTTGCTGTGCAACAGAGATGGTCTCTGTTGCCCAGGCTGGAGTGCAGTGGCATGATAATAGCTAACAGCAGCCTCCAACTCCTGGGCCCAAGAGATCCACCCACCTCAGCCTCCCATGCACCTGGGACTGCAGGCCGGCGCCACCACACCTGGCTTGTTTTTGTTATTGTTGTTGTTTTGCATTTAAGATATATCGAATTGCAAAGACCCTGTAAATCAAGGGATGCTTGAACTTAGCTTGGTCCAGAGCAAGAGTTGTTCACCATCTCAAAAAATCATGTCACCAGTGCCACTTGTGTGGGAATCACCTTTTCAACCCGCTTGTGTCCATCTGTATTTGTAGTCATAACTCTTTGCAAATATGTAACCAAGGAGCTCTGAGACTACCTTTAAGAGATGGAGAAGTAAATATTACTAAATTAGCACAAAGATATATGAAATACAGACATTTTATTTCATTTATAAAGGCTGTTTAAAATATATATGATTGCCATGTTTTATGTTTTTAAATTTTTGGTAGCACAATAATAAGAAAGCAATATTGTGAAAAATTATGTTCTTAACTTATTTATATATCTTTTGGTTGCCTGGTTTTTTTCTGCCTGACTGATACTGTTCCCAGATATCTACCACATAAATTTGCTATGCCCCTTATAGTGTAATTTTTCTTTTTCTTTTTCCTCAATCATCTTGTGGTCCCCATCACCTCCTAAAAGATATGGTCTCCAAGTCTTTTGAAGAATCAGAGGCCAAGTGTATCTTGGACATGTGGGGAGTTGTTATGGGCCTCCACAACAGTATGAGTGGCTGCATGGCCTCAAGTGTCACTAAAGCTCAAGATTTTGACCCTACACTTATACACAAGGCCCAACTCATTTGCAAGACTCACACCTCTCCTCATCTTCTCTTCTTCTGCACTTTGCAATTGCTTTTGGTGTGCCATTCCCTTCTCAGTTAACCTTATTATCCTTCCTCTGTTAGTATACATGAATAAGTCGTTCTGTTCTTTACTTTAATCCATACCTCTGTTCTTTTTTTCTCTGTACTTCCTAGATGGGAATGCCTTCTGCTCTCCCTATTCTCTTAAATCTAAACTTTATTCTTCTAAGTAGGCATACACATCTGACAGTTTCATTGTATCTTCTGAAGAGAGCATGCCTCAACATTTACGTACTGAAAAGTTTTGTTTTATTTTTATTTATTTATTTATTTTTATTTTTGGACAGAGTCTTGCTCTGTCACCCAGGCTGGAGTGCAGTGGCACAATTGTGACTCACTGCAACCTCTGCCTCCTGGTTTCAAGCAATTCTCCTCCCTCAGCATCCTGAGTAGCTGGGATTACAGGCCCCTGCCATCACGCCCGGCTAATTTTTTGTATTTTTAGTAGAGATGGGGTTTCCCCATGTTGGCCAGGTTTGTCTCGAACCCTTGACCTCGGGTGATCCGCCTGCCTCAGCCTCCCAAAGTTCTGGGATCACAGGTATGAGCCACCGCGCCCAGCCAAAGTTATGTTTTATGATAACTACTTGCATTTCTCCTTTTATTTTACAGTTGAGGTATCATATTGATTTGTTAAATTTAACTTATCCTGTCTATGAATTTTATTGCAGAATAGTAGGAAATATTTGTATTCATTTAAAGTGGAAAGACAATCTGCATGCCTGGAGGAGATATTTGCAACATTTACAACTGGCAAAGGTTTATTATCAAGAATATATAAAGAAGTCTTGCAAATCAACAAGAAAGAAGAATAAAGCAGAAAGAAATGGACAAACGAAAAGGCATTTTATAAAAGAAGAAATGCGGATGGCCAGCAAACATATGGAGATGTTCAGCCTCATGTGAAATGTAAATCAAGACCAAATAAGATAAGCTTTTATGTCCACTAAAATGGCAAAATTTTAATAGCTAGACAATCCAAGTATTGGAAAACATACGGATCCATGGGATCTCTTACAAATTGCTCATAAAGGTATACATTAGGATACTCACTTAGAAAAACAGTGTGGCATTATCTTGTAAAATCAAACACTCACATAGGCTGCTGTGCAGATCCTTGGTCTGTTTGCCCTCAGATCCACTCTTTGCTATGCCCTTATGTGCTCGGTTTTCCAGCAGGATCTCGGCAGCCATGTCATCTTGCTTCCAGTTGGGCTCAGTCAATAAAAGAGAGAGAATGGAAGGTGGAAGGAAGGGAGTAGCCAAGGTATTTCTCAACCGGCACCCTCCCCCACTCCTCTCAAGTAGCATCTCCTGTGGTGGCCACAGCTCTCCCATGGGTCCAGTTCCCACAGGAAAGCCAGTCATGATTCTAACTTGTACCAGGTGACCCTGGCCCTGGGCTCTGGTGACACTAACCCTTTATTTCTCTAGTTCTAGGGAGGGGTAGTAACAGCTTCCTGCTATTATTAATTTATGGGTGGCCTTACTGCCTCCTGTGAGGCTTCTCAGCTATTGATTACCATACTACTCAGCAATAAAAAGGAAAAAACTATTGACACATGCAACAACTTTGCTGGACCACAAGAGAATTTTACCAACTGAAAAAGCCAGTCTCACATTGTTACATACTATATGATTCCACTTACATAACCTTCTAGAAATGACAAAATTATTGAGGTGAAGAACAGATTAGTGGTTGCCAAGGGTTAAAGACAGGGGTGGGGTTGGAGAAGGACAACAACTTTGTGGGACCACAAGAGAATTTTACCAACTAAAAAAGCCAGTCTCACATGGTTACATACTGTATGATTCCACTTATATAACCTTCTAGAAATGACAAAATTATTGAGGTGAAGAACAGATTAGTGGTTCCAAGGGTTAAAGACAGGGGTGGGGTTGGAGAAGGAAATCAGTGTACCTAAAAAGGGGCAGCCAGAGGGATCTTTGTGGTGATGGGACAGTTCTGTATCTTGATTGTGGTAGTGGTTATACAAATCTACATGTAATAAAGTTTTATGTGTGCATAGAACTATGTACATACTCAAACCAATGCATGTAACCCTGGTGAAATCTGAATAAGGTCTGTAGATTGTGACCTGGTTTCGATACTGCTTTATAGCTATCTAAGATGTTATTATTGGGAGAAAATGGGGGAAAGGTACGTGTACTTTTCTGTACCATTTTTGCAACTTCTTGTGACTCTGTTAGTACTTCAAAATGGAAAGTATCTGAAAAACCATAGAGTGGTTTCTGTTTTTTCTGATTAGACCCTGAGTGCACTCCTATAACCCCACGATTCCTTCCACTCCTAGCTATATATTTACCTACAAGATAGGCCCCAGAGAAACTCATAATGCATGTGTAGCAGTTATTCATGATAGAAGGAAACCCAACCACTCATAAATAGGAGAATAAATAAATTGTGATACAAACAGAACAAAATCTTATACAGCAGGGCAGATGAATGCAATATGCTATATACAGCAATATGGATAAGCCTCAACTCATAATCAACGTTGAGTGAAAAGGGCAGGGCTCAGGACGTTATTTATAATTATTTTATCAATGTAAAAACAAAGCACTTGTTATAAAATTTAAAATTATCTAAAATGATACTACATATTGCTTAGATATATATGGGTGTATGTGTGGGTGTGTTTTTGCTTATGTTTCTGTGATATTTATTTACTTATTATTTTTTCCTAATCACTAGACAATGTGGGAATGATATTAATTTTTAAACATAAGGGAAGGATAGGCCAGGCGCAGTGGCTCATGCCTGTAATCCCAGCACTTTGGGAGGCCGACGCAGCTGGATCACCTGAGGTCAGGAGTTCAAGACCCAGCCTGACCAACATGAAGAAACCCCATCTTGACTAAAAATATAAAATTAGCTGGGTGTGGTGGCACATGCCTGTAATCCCAGCTACTTGGGAGGCTGAGGCAAGAGAATCTCTTGAACCCAGGAGGCGGAGGTTGCGGTGAGCCGAGATTGTGCCATTGAACTCCAGCCTGGGCAGTAAGAGCAAAACTCCATCAAAAAAAAAGAAAAACCATAAGGGAAGGATAAACACAAAATTCAGGAGAGTGGTCAGTTCACGTGGTAGACACAGAGAGAGACAGGATAGAGAATGAACACAGGTGTCGCCACTGTTCCAGTTCTCAGGTGGGGAGGCAGGCTCATGGGTGTTCAATATATTATTTGATTGATAGATAGATAGATAGGTAGATAATGGCTAGATGATCGATTGATTGATAGATATATAGATGATAAATAGACGATAGATGATAGATATAGATGATAGGTAAATAGATGATTGATAGATAAATAGATAGTAGATAGATTGATTGATTGACTGATAGATAAAAGCAAAAGAGAGTCATGCAAAGACCGACCAAAGACAGTGAGTCTTGAATTAAGGATCACAATGAATGGCTCTATGACTTGAGGTCTATTGCATTATCTATATCTCCATTTATTATTAAAAGGAGGTATGGAGTCTAGTAACTCTGGGACCTCTGATCTAATGAGAACAGACTTCTAAGAAATCCATGTGCTCTTGGATTCAGAAAACTGATGCCCATTCTTGTGCCCCATCAGGGTTCTTCTGAAAGCTTTTCGGTTTCTCAGACTTCAGTGTCCATCTGTCCTGTTCCTAGGTTCCAGGGCTTTTTCTACTGCGGCCTTCCCAATCTCTCATTAGTTAATTTATTTTCTTAACACATCTTGCTGAGCAGCATTTAGTATGTTTCAAGTGCTCAGACCTGGAGACACAGCAATGAGCAGAAGAGACCAGGTCTCTGTCCTCATGGAACTCACATTTTGTACTTTGGTGGGGCAGAGTGGGAGGGGGTGAAAGGTGGTCAGGCAACAAAAGCAAAGAAACAAGAAAATAATTACAGCTTGTGGTCATTGATATGAAGGAGAGATGGGAGTGAGAGGGAGAGACAGCAAAGCCTTTCTGAAGAGGAGGCATCTGAACTGAGAAGCTGAGGGTGCAGAAAAGGCAGGACTAAAGCTGAGGAAAGAGTGCAGTCCCAGAGGGGACAGTGAGTGCAAACGCCTGGAGGCAGGACAGACTTTGGCCTGTTTCAGGAACAGAGAGGAGGCCACTCTGCCTGCAGTGTACTGACTGAGGGCGTAGTGATAGCAGACTCCAGAGGTCATTCACAGGGCACCAGCTGTGACCAAGATACAACCTGAGTCTCCTGGCACTTATGTTCCCAGTTGCACAGATTGCTCGCTTCCTGGTGGTCATAATTTCCTCTACTTCTCTGAATCTCACCCACTCTTCAAGACCAGGTCATGCCCATCTCCTCCCAGAACTTTCCTCAACTCTCCCAGCTCTTGGGAATGGGGGGCACCTAATATGTGTATGGAAGTGGGTGACTGTCTTCACTCTCTTATCTCCAAGCCAGTTTTTCTTAAGGTATGGCTTTCTGACCATCTGAATTACAATCCCCTAAAATCCACCTAAGTTTTAAAAGTATTTTTAGTGAAATATTTGAATTATAGTGAATAGAATACTGATTATTCATGTACTTAATATCTGCTTCTAAGAGCCTTACCATTTGTCCATATTTGCTTCTGTTTCATTTTCATTTTTTAAGAAACAGAACACATTACAAATACATACATGTGGTTACCGAAAGGTCCCAGTCTGGACCTTCTCAATCAGAATTCCTGGAAGTAGAGCTGGGAATATGCAGTTTTGCAGATTTTACATTCCTTCCTCACTCCCCTTCCCTTACCCACAGGGATTTTTTTTTTTTTTTTTTTTTTTTTTTTTTTTTTTGAGACAGAGTTTTGTTCTTGTTGCCCAGGCTGGAGTGCAGTGGCGTGATCTTGGCTCACTACAACCTCCACCTCCTGGATTCAAAAGATTCTCCTGCCTCAGCCTCCTGAATAGCTGGGATTACAGGCACGTGCCACCACACCCCAGCTAATGTTTTGTATTTTTAGTAGAGATGGAGTTTCACCATGTTGGCCAGGCTGGTCTCAAACTCCTGACCTCAGGTGATCTATCTGCCTCAGCCTCCCAAAATTCAGGGATTACAGGCATGAGCCACCGCCCCTGGCCAGTGGTTTTTAGACATAGTGAATATTGACAATTACTGATATGTGCCATTTTCAATGTATCCCATCCAAGTAGTTCTTCCTTATAGCTCATCCAAGGGGTCTTGGCTATGCATGAGAATTCTCTGGGGAATTTTCTAAAAATATAGATGTCCAGGCCCCTCCCTAACCTAGTAAACCAGACTGGGCAGGGATGTTAAGAATCTCCATCATGAAAACCTTGCTGGTGGGTTTTTAATGGTAGCAGAGGTTGGGGCAGAGGAGGACCCGCCTCCTGTCTGAAACACTCCTGGTGATCGTCGAAGTGAGGATTCAGATGTCCTTCCATTTGCTGTCTCCCAGAAGAATTTAACAAGCCTTTCCTATGCATCTGCTGAGTACTGGGCAGAGCTGCAACCAAAAGACATTGGTCAGGCATGATGGTGAAGCCCTGACCTATGTCCAGGATGCAGTCCGAGCTCAGACATTAACTCAATGGGTGGACTTGGAGGTACGGTTGGCAGATCTAGCAAAGAAATAGAATGCCTGCTTAAATTCAAATTTCAGATTTCCAACAAACTATTTTTTAGTAGAAGTGTGTCCTAAGTATTGCATGGGACATATGTGTACTAAAAAATGATTTGTTGTTTATTTGAAATTCAAATTTAACTAGGACTCTTTTGTTTTATCTGGCAATCCTACTTGAGGGAGTATCTTCCGCATCTCTGAACCTCTGAACCTATTTCCCCATCTGGGAAATGAGAGGGTTGGACTAGATGTCCTCTGTGGGTTCTGATAGTTTGCATGTTAAGATGCATTGCACAGGCCTAGGAGCTTTTCTTTCAAGCCCCAGCAGGGGGCGCCCTAACCCTCCTCAGCCGCCTCACCAGCTAAAGGCTCAGCCAGGAGACAACCGGGTCCTGCTGGCTCTGGAGGGCCATCTGGAAACCAGGTTGTAAGAGCTGGGAGAGTCCAGGTTTGCCCATCCCTAGGACAGCGTATTCAGAAGGAGAGAAGAGAAGATCAGAGTCTCTGAAGATGGGACCATCTCACCCAGCGCCCCGTCTGCCAATATTTAGAAGACTGAACCCCTAGAGGGGAAGGCACTTGTCCAGGTTCACACATCTGTCCTGAAAATTAGATTCCTATCACCCTGTCCAGGACTCCTTTGCATCCTTTGAGTACCTTTATTTTTCTGTTTCCAGCTGGAAGTGTTTAACCCTTGCAGTCCTGTAGCCAAAACCAATGCAGACCCCAGCCAGCCCAGTACAGCCTAACAGGACTGAGACAGCCCTGAGTCCCTTCACAGAGGGAGTGTGGTCTGGAAGAAGGAAACATTATGACTCATGGATAAAGGATCAGTCTAGGCAGTGAGGAAAGAGCAGATCCCTCACATTTAAGTTGGGAGTGGTAGGTAACGATGATGATAATTATTATGGCGACTATAATGATTATTTATTGGCTTTCTCTATGCTGGGACACAACAACCTGTGAGGCAAGGATCATTATCGTCAGGATTTTTACCGATGCGGAAGTAAGCTCAGAGTGTTGGATCACTGGACTAAATGAGACTCCATCCAGTTCTGCAGCAGGAGTGGGAGGGAGGGCTGCTTCCGTTCTCTGACCCCTTTGACTTGAGTGCCTCCAATTTCATCAAGAGCCTGGCTAACTCCTCCTCAATGAATTGTACAGGGGACCAGGATTATCTCCAAAGGACCCACACCCTCCCACGAAGAGTCAGTGCCTGAAGGAAGGGATGCTCACCACTTCAGTTTAGGAGATGATTTTAGGAGAGTTACAAATTTGGCATTAACATTGAGTTAATTACAGTTCAATTCTCCTTTGGTCTTTCTATCAAGGAGAACGTCTCTGAGATTTCTTCTTTTAACAAGAAACAGAGCATTCTTTAAGAAGCATGAGGCACATTTATAACTGCATAACATTGTTTTTTCATTGTATGTGTATTTTTTACCATATTTATCTTTAAGGTTTATCTCTATGGTAAATGATACTAATTTTTCATCTAAGGTGATAATACAATTTATTTTAAATGTTAAAATTTTTGTTTTTTTTAAAAAAAAATTGATTTGAAGTGGGGAGAAGGACAGATAGAAAGAAGTTATAGAAGCTCTGCCCTTAAGGGTTCTGGATTCTGACGGTCCCTGTTAACTCAGCCGATTAAT